TTTCCTTTCCTTTTTCCTTTCCTTTCCTTTTTCCTTTCCTTTCCTTTCCTTTTTCCTTTCCTTTTCTTTTTCCTTTCCTCTCCTTTTTCCTCTCCTTTTTCCTCTCCTTTTTCCTCTCCTTTTTCCTCTCCTCTCTCCTCTCCTCTCCTCTCCTCTCCTCTCCTCTCCTCTCCTCTCCTCTCCTTTCCTTTCCTTTTCCATTTTTGGCTTTCTTCTCGTGAGGATGAGAAGAAACCAAACCCAGTGTCTGGTCATATGATGGTAGTCCAGGACCTTGCGGTACACTGTGTGCCCTCTGTAAGATGGTTCCACTAGATGGATGATATGTTGCTAGCTTCAGAGCATTTTACAGATGGAGAAACACACCTTGAAAACCTAAACCTCTCCAACCTAGGGTTGGAGAGATGGCTCAGAGGTTAAGGGCACTGGCTGCTCTTCCAGAGGTCCTGAGTTCAACTCCGATCAACCACATGGTGGTTCACAACCATCTACAATTCGATCTGGTGCCCTCTTCTGGCATGTGAGCACACATGCAGGTAGAACACTGTATAAATAATAAATATTAAAAAAAAAAAAAAACAACAACAACTAAAAGAAAGAATGGGAAATTAGACCACGCAGTGTGATATCCAGCTGAGAAATTCCTAAGAATTTAATGGTTGGGGGGCTGGAGAGATGGCTCAGTGGTTAAGAGCACTTTATGCTCCTCCAAAGGACCAGGGTTCAATTCCCAGGTCCCATATGGCAGCTCACAACTGTCTGTTTAACCCCAATTTCAGGGGATCTGACACCTTCACACCTAATGCACATAAAATAAATTGTTAAAAATAAAATTCCATTGAAGATAAAAAAAAAGACTTTAATGGTTGGGTGAGACACGTGTGATCCCTGACAAGTGATCACCGGCACAAGGTCAAGGCACTCAACATTGTAGCATAAATGGGGGCCAGCCATGAGGCCCTTCACTGCTAGCTGAGGCGCTAGGTACGGTTGATGGCTGCTAGGAGAGGAGGCTCAGTGTTCTTTGGGGTGTGGCCCCTGCAAAGTTGACATGCTTTAGTAGATGACAACCACGCATAT